TCTCTCCATCAATCCTGTACAGTTTTGCCAAACAGTCAACTCCAGGATTTGTGTGGCTATTCCCTCGTGCATGTTCCTGGTCCGGATCGAGTCATATCAATTACTATCTGATTATCATTAGTCTTTTCTGCATATGTCAGCAGTGATTCAATATATCAAGTTTTGTGTATATACTATCGTTGGACGTTTCTAGTTTTTCCATTGCATAGAGGCTCATTTAATTTAAACAAGTAACTACGAGATAAAATTTAAATAACTGATCAAAACTCATCTGAGTTATTATATTAAAGTTCACCATAGACCTGTGATCTCGTGTGTGATAGGCCAATTAATCATGTGTACAAGTTGGCTTACTGGGTAGAAACCTATAACTTTTTTAGAGCCAGTAAGTTTCTTATCACAATGCTGTTGAAAGAGAATGTGAAGTTATTAAATGTATGAATAAGTCAATTACAACAAACTCCCTCCGTTCTTATATATAAGATATTTTTAAGATGTTTTTTTATCTCTAAATATAAGGGGTGGTAATGATATTTTTAAATAATTAGATAATTTTACCCTTATCTTAAAAAATAAAATAAATCATTAATTATATATTTTTTCTACCACCATCATAATATTAATTATGATATTATTAAGGGTAAAATTAAAAAATTATTATGGTATGTAGGATTTAATTAAAAACACCTTATATATGGAGATAGAGAAAGTACTCCTCTAGTTCACCTTATATATATTATATATATTTTAATAATATATTTTTTCTTTTCAATATTCAATAATGGAGGTCAAATGGAAAAATTTAAGGAAAAATAGCAATTGAGGACCACTGAACAAAATTCATACTATTCAAGAATCAATTATTGCCAAGTTTGAATGAATACTTGTTGATAAATAAATTCAAATAAATTATTGTTAATTTAAAATGAGTTGTTATTAAAACCCGATTGAATATATACTTGCTAATAAAAGACCAGCATGAATCAACAAGTATTCATTGAGTTTGATAATAATTGATTATTGACTAATAAATTTTGATTAGTGTTCTTTAATTAATATTTTTTTAAAATTTAATGAAATAATTTATAAATAAGAGTATGTTTAGAGGAGGTGATTTGTTGGAACAGTAGTGTAGACGTTGAAGCAGTCATGCATTGCAAGGAATTACCTATGCCAAACCAATAACTCTTAACTCGCATATTCCCTGCGCACTTATTGAATTTTTCAATTCTTGAACTCTCGATACATGCTATGGTGTCAAGTAGGGGTGAAAATTAAAACAAACCTGACCCTTAAAAGTTCAAACTTTAAAACTTAATTATTTAAATTTAACCTAATTTTGAGGTTTGAATCTTATTTATAGAGCTCAGGGTTAAGTTTTTAAGTCTTTTTTTTCAAAAAAAAAAAACTTTAACATTTTAATTTTAAAAAATATTTTAAAATTTAATATAAATAAGTTAAAGTTTCACATAAAATTTAACAAATATTTAAAATTTTAAATTTAAGATAAAGATTAAAATCTTTATCAATGTAAATCTAAATCTTCCTCATCATTATCTAAAAATAAAATATGAGATTCTTTAGATGTAGGTCTACTTGTTGAAAATGGAGGTAAAGATTTAATGTCAATCACCTCTTCAACTTCTTTTTTATCACCTATAATAAATATTAATTAAATTATCTCATTATCTATCAAATATGTGTGTGTGTAATATAATCTGACTTATCAGAACCGTTCAGGCCCGAGCCCTCAAATTTGATTACTTTTAAAAAAAATTAAAACTTAAATTTTTATTTAAATAGAACCTCTAAACTTAATTCTTATTTCTGACTTTAATATCAAGTGGGTTGCAAGTCCGCCCGCGCGCACGCTCATTTTCCGACATTTCCATATCATTTTAGTGGGCTATGGACTCTACACATATATAAGTACGCGCGATTACTCTTTTAATTCAAATTTCGTAATCTCCCATGTTTTGCATATTGCTAGCAATTAATTGGCGCCCCCTCCAAAAAAAAAATGCAATACATTTTTTTAAATAAAATATTAAAAAATATGAAATATTTTGAGGTGCATTTAATAATTTTTTTAAAATACCCTTAATTTGGGATGTATTTAATAAAGTTTTTTAATTAAAATACTCAATTAAATAAGAGTAAATATAAAAAGAGTGTGTAATTTTAAAGATAATTAATTAATTTGCATGTGCTTGATATTTTTACTCTTTTAACTAGTTTCGCAAAAGAGTTGATCTATTTGAATAACTTAAAAACCAACATAATATTTGCCAATTTATATGTACGCATTGCTTTATCCAACTTATTGGAACAGCACTAAAAATAATTAAACATATTAAGGTAGTTAAGATTGTTAACAATATAGTATGTATTCACTTCATTAAAAAATGTAAGGTATTTTGAACTAAATCTCATCTTAATAAAATAATTACCTACTTTTAAACTAACTTTATCTTTTTATATTTACTCTTATTAAATACCTTATAGTAAATATAAAGTCATTCATTAATAGAGACATTTATGAAAAAAAGGTAATGATTACACTTCAAAATATTTAAAAATAAACATTTAACTCATCAAAAAATATCTTATATTTTTAAACGGAGGGAGTATGATATTTTTTTTTGGTTGACCAGCTGTAATATGTATGATCATCGATAGAATGAAAATTCAAGGAAAAATAGTAATCAAGGACTTTTGTATAAAATTTATATTATTAATTAAAGATTGATTGTTGTCAACATTTAAATGAATACTTTTCAATTTAAATTAATTTTTTATTAATAAATATTTATTTAAATTTTAATAAAAATTTATTTTAAATTAACAACAACTAATTGTAGACTTATATAAATTTTATATAGAGGTTTTTGTTATTTTTCTGAAATTCAAAGAGAATGACATGAGGAAAACATCATGTGTGCGTCATGTGGGTGAGACGATCAACCTACTCGAGTTAATGAAGGATGACATCTATTAACTTCAATGTCGGAATTTTAATTTATTGGTTCCATGGTATATTTCATAAGACTAGTGTACTGTTTGTTTCACAATTAATGTCGCAAAATGTGGGTGCACACTCAGTCTCAGGGGTCCACCTCATTTCCCCCCCCCCCTCCATTACCTTTTTCAGCCCTAAAACACACGTCATTACACATGAAACTCACCCATAATTTAATTAAAAATAATAATTCCGAGTCGTATGATATATAATCTCTGGCATGTTTCAAGACCCATGTAAAGCTGAAACACAGGGTCTCAATCTCAATGTCAACTTTTGGTCAATAACGATTGTTCCTTATATTGACGGTAGTTCCATTCCTGGTACATTGGTATTTCCAGGAAAATGTCAAAATTCAAAACGAAATCATTAATCCCAGTTTCTCTAAAAAATGCTTGCGATCTAACAGTAAACTAAATTTATTGTATCTTGATCAGTTGGCGTTAATGATCTGAAGATGTTTGTCTCTAGAGCCTCTTGCCTCTTGCAGGTGCCGTTTTGATTTCCCCTTCTTATATGGACTCTCTTCAAGAAGGAACAGAGTGGAACCCCCATTATTCCTCCTTGATTTAGCAGTTTGCCTATTCGATATTTCACAACTTTTTGCATAAAATTCAATCAACCTTTACTATTAGAATGACTAAGAGCTCGAAACGACTCTGTCATTTAAAGTCGTCGATACTGCAGAGCATCCGCGTCGTTTCCGTACAACAAATTAATCCATGCCACAACAACCTTGGATTTAAATTCAATAACTGTATTTAGTACAGGCATTGAGTATCTGTATCGTCTAAATCATTAAAATTTATATTAATAATTATGAATTTATACTGTATTTAATATTAATGAATGAATGAGTGTATTTAAATCATTGATCTAAATTTCAATAACTCAAAAATATAAGCACTCAATATCTGTATTAAATACAATTACCGAATTTAAACCCTTTACAGCTACATATAAATTGCAAGATATGTTAAGTGTTTCAGGTTAAATCATTTTAAAATCTGCAATTTAAATAGCACATGCCCTTATTTTTGCATGGAGTTTGAGAAATGATCAGTTAGACTATTTATGACTTATTTTCTCTTATTTTTATTATAAGATATCTTCAACTATCTCATCGTAATCAATGAGAGTAGTTAAATTTGTAGCTCTATTTAAAATTTAAAAATATAATAAATTTTTAATTTTATTGTTATTTAAATAAAAAATTCTCAAATTTGTATTATATTTTCTCTCATAATTAATAAATTTAAATATGGATAATGTTAAAAAAATATAATTAACACCTTATATTAAGGATCAAAAAAAAGTTGTTAGAAGGTGGCTTGTGAGAACGACCGAATGGAATATTAATTATGTGACTTGTTAAAGTTTTTTTATATGGAGATTGTATTTCATAAATATTTAAATTATTATTAAATTATTATATAGAAGTTTCATTAATCTTTTCAGATTAGTAATAAATATAATAAATTTGATAATGATTTTGATCCTTAAACTAATTGCAATCGAAAGATTTTTAACATATAGTATTTTTTTATATGCCGGTCTTGAATAATTCAACAAATGAATACTCTTTCTAATTTCATTTATAAATCACATTCTAAAATATCCATTTAGTTTTATTTATAAATCATAATATAACTTTTTATGTAATAGTTAAAAAGCATTTTTAAAATTACTCTTTATGTGAGAAGAAAAAATAACATTATGTCACTTTTTAGATTTATCATATAGGAATATATTTGAAATTCTATATACTTTTATTCCTTATATTTTTTTTACATTAATATTGATAAAGTTGATAAAAATAATTTATACAAAAGGATTTTATGGAGTATGCCGTATTAAGTATATATACGATGATGGTTCATGCATTTCTTGGCGCCTGCAGCGTGTGTGATGTGATGTTAAGAACTTTCTAAGACTATATAATATATCAAAATCAAAAGGTTATACCATAAATAATTATAAATTATAAAAAAGTAATAACTTTATATCATAAAATTTATTAAAAAAGATTAGATCTAAACAGCCGAACGAGTTTCAGTTAACTCATTACATAAGCTGACTGTACACCATATGATTCTTTGAATAATTTCTCAAAGTATAATACTTCCTGTATGTTGGGAATTAATTTATGGGGGGAAAAAAACAGCACACTTTGTTTCTTCCTGCTACGATCCTATCTGTTGTCTCTGCGATGCGAATAAAACTTACGAGTTCTGGCATGTAGAATCAAAGCCAAAAATGTCCCAAAGAAACACAGAGAACCCCAGATGATGAAAGTTCTTCTGTAGCACTCCATGCCCATGCATTTCCCATCTCCATCTTGTTCCTTACGATAGAGCAGAGCAGCCAAGTAGCCGAACACAAAAGAACCAATGGCAATGTTGGTGACCACAACGTTGTGGTTCACTGAGAAATTCTTTGTCCCGAACAGTTCAGTGGTTGTGGACACAGAAATGGAAGTGATCGCTCCAGTGCACACTCCTATTATGGCAGTGCTTGTGTATAGAGCTAGCTCAGTTCTGTTGAGAAGCAACAAGAACGATCCTGCTGTTGGAGCCATTAATACCGCCATACTCGCTGGCCTTGAAATCCTAATCTTACCCCTGAAAATTTGAATCCATGTCAAGGACAAAAGAAAGAGACTTTAATGTTGGGTTGTAGATAAACCACCACGCCGATATTTATTATTTGCATTAATGGCAGTAGTTGGTGGTAGATCAGAAGGACACAAGGCAGAAGATGCGATATAATTTTGAGACAGTGAAATGTTTCTTAAATGTTTGTTATATTGCCTCTGAGAAAGATAAAGTGAAACATATTTACCTGCAGAAGTAGTCCATGAGAGATGGCGTGAGACGGCCAAAGAACACAAAAGACGAAGACAAAGACACCAGAGATGAAGTATTGGAGTAGCCTCTAGACTCAGCAATTTGTCCCAAGTTGTTCATAAAGACTAAACCAAGTGTTGCACCGAAGAAATAGATGAAGAAATATAACCAGAAATCTACTCTTCTCAGCATCAACTTCACTCCAATTTCTTCTCTGACAAGAACTTCTCGAACCTCTCTGCTGCTATCTTCTTCTTCCTCTCCATCTTTTGGCTCACTCTCTGCCCTCTCTTCATTAGGACTGTTATTTTCCTCCACAGTAAAATTATAGACTCTTAGTCTTTCTCGATTCGCCTGCCATGATCTCACCAATTCATTGATCTTCTCTGAGACTGGAAGTAACAGAGGGAGGAGAAGGGACACTAGAATACCAATCAGATTACTCAATGGAGATAATTTGCGAGACACAAATTGCAAGCTGCTGAGCACAGCATATACGCCTGTGGAAATGGTTATAACAAACATTACAACAAATCCAACACGCATTCGTTTAGACCTTGAGACTTGAATTTCTCTAGTTACAGGAGTTGCTATGAGACTCACTATGAGAGGTAAGATAGAGTTCAAGAAAAGAAAGGCTCTAGCTTTTTTGTGAGGAGAAAGAACTTGAACAATATTAGTATAGATCTTTGCACTTAACCCTTGATAACTAGTTGTTAACCCCACAGCAACTTGGTGATCAGATGGGAAGTTCCTGATCGCGATGATATAACAGACAGTGTTAATCCAACAAATGCTATTCCCAGCCAGAACGGTTAGTAAGAAGACATGCCAGTAGGACAGAGAGGAGATTTGGTGTGTTATGAACAGATATTGGACTCCATAGCCAACAAACCCAAGACTTGAACCGATCATGAGGACAAGCCAGAGAGGGAGGTGAACAGAAGCCATGCCAGAGAACCAGCCAAGAAGTTTTCCTGCGTCAGAGGCAAAAGCAAGGTTGTTGAGCTGCACTTGTGAAATTGAAAGGAGCTGCTTCAGTTGAGATGAGTAAGCAGGGAAATTGGTGTTTGTGCCGTTTATGGCTTGGAGCCAAATGATGCCTACAAGGCTTAGCCATTGAAGAGCAGTTGAAGCCATGGTGAAGAAGAAACTTGAGGCAGGAAACTTGAACTGCCCTTCTTGGCTAATAAAGATTTGGGGTGTGTGTGTGGGTTTATATGCTGTGAAGCTGAAGAGTCTAGAGGGTTGAGGTGTGAAATCAAAGTTCAGAAATGCCGCTGCCAATAGAATGATGACATTCTGTGATTGGCGGAACAAGTTAAATGTGGTGTTCTATCGACCACCACCTTTACTCGAAAAGATTTTGTGTGCGCAAGAGGCAATGGACATAACGCTATAATGTGATGGATTTATAGATGGTTGTGGGACTTGGCAGTAAAATCATAAAACAAGCCAGAACAATTTGGTCTTGTGTGAACGATGAAGGAAAGTGAAATGGATATGAAATGGGAAACTCCTAATAATACAAGAGGCTATGGCCGGTAGGTAATCCGAAAAACACCCAGAAAAAATTACATTTAATAAGTTCTCTGACTAAGTCCTGGGGAACTAATATAATGAGCACTAAAAACTCATCACTTTTAGAACATTCAGATCTAATCTAAATAATTTAATTTTTTTATTTTTATTTTTTAAAAAATTATTAGATGCATAATCTAAAAAAAAGGTAATATCTTAATTGTCAATATTTCTTTAAAAAAATCATTTCAAAAAAATCAATTGCAAGGCAATTATGAATTTCAGTGCTCATATTTATGATGAGCACTGAAACTCATTCCAAGTTCAGGCAATATGAAACTTCTGTAGTTTAGTTGATATGCAGATATTCTCATAATTTCATAAATAAATAGAGAAATGGACATATGTAATAAGCACAGAATGCTTGTCATCTCAAGGGCTCATCTAAGCCCTTGATTTTATCATCATGTGATCTTTGCCGTTTATTTTAAATTTATTTTTTAATATTTTTAATATTAGATTATTAAAATAAAAATTAATAAAAAATATGCTTAATGTTAAATATGGATTGTCTTCTAGGCTCAGCAAGAGATGAATATCAGGTTACTCATTTTAGTTGATGAGATTTGGACTGTCCAAATTTAAATATTTTTATTTTATTTTATATTTATCAAAATAAAAATTATAAATTTGTTTAATAAATTTATTCATAATCAATTTGGCCAATGCAGATTTAATCTAAATTATCTAATTTAATACTAATTAAAATTTTTATATTTTTATAAATTGACTATCTAGATGTACTTTAGACAATATAGATACAACTTGAACAATCCAATTTAATATTAAATTTTTTTGTAATGTTTATAAATTAATTATATAAATATATTTTGAACAGTATATATTTAAATTAAGATTTTCATATTTTTTATAAATTTTTTTAGTAATACAATATTTAAAATATTAAATGATAAATTTAAAATGAATGGTAGAGATCAATTGAGGATAAAATTAAAGGTTTGCATGAGCCATTGAAGTGTTGATGAGTACGGAATGCGCTTGCATGCAATAGTAATTATTACTTTTAACATGTAGCTTCGTCTCATGAGAGTTGGGCCTAAATTGTATATCTATAGTTTTTTGTGTTACAAGTAAATTTATAAGAAATCCAATATTTGGCAAGGATGATATGAGACATGAGCAATGATAAATTATGGCCCGATTTCAAATCCTCTTGATACAACGCGCGCGCACGTGTAGCGATTTAAAAGTAAGATATTTTTTAACTTTGATACTCTAAAAGATAATCGTTATGAAGAATCAAAGCTGCCAATACGGCCCTATATCATGTGATTTGCAAGACAATCATCCACGTATATGAGATATAAAATTTGAAGTAAGCAACCTTATTCAAGTCACAAATAGCGTGAGTAATCTAAAATTCCTTGCAAAACACATAACTATAGTTTGAATACTATAATTTTTTAAACAATTAACAATAATTTCCCTGCAATCTAAAAGTTAAATAGTAATTTCGGTTTTCAACTAAATTGCTAACCTCGGAAAAATCATGATAATTTTATTCTTAAAAAATCATCACGGCTAGGGATCTTCACCTATGATTGGAGAGAGTGACTCAACTATAGCTAATCCATTCAGTGCAAATTCTGAGAAATCAGTTTCGGTTAGTTCATCAGAAACTACTGATGTTGAAGGTGATGATCCTTTGATTGCAGATTCTTCTCAGTGCAGATACATTCAAACCAAAAAAAAAAAAAAAAAACAGAGAGAGAAAAGAGAAAAGAAAAGAAAAGAAAAGGCTCAAAAGAGTAAGAGTCTTATACAGACTTAGAAACAATGGGCCTGTCTCGGCTTCCTGATCGAAGAGACGAAGACCGAATGTCTTCTACAAAGTCTCTCGATTGAATTAAACGAGAGAATCTGAACTTTCTACTATCTTGCATTTATGTTTTGCATTTAAACTGTCTTTGGTGTATAACTTTTGGGAAACTCTCAAAATTTACTCATCATTTGACATTGTTATAGTTTCTTGAATTGTTCCGGTTAATATGTTAAACTGTCCTTGACAATAGTTGTATTATATTTCAAATGACGAACTGGATCGACTTTGTTTTGGAACGTGTGACAATACAGGGGTCCAAGTGTGTTCTCAGTTTATATGTGGATATTATTTGAAACAGATTAATTTGACAGTCCCGTGAAATGCACACAGGACAACGGACGCCAGTTTTTAAAATTCGTAGTTTATGAATTTCAAGATATAAATACAGCTAATTATACCAAACATACGGTACGGATCAAGAACTTTAAGATTGGTGAAGGCCAGCCAGATAAATTTTCAGGCATCCAGCCTGGGCCCACTTTGACATTAGACCATTTTTAAGTTTTAACTTTTACTCCGATTTTTTTTAAATAAAAAAACTCGCGACACAAGTGATAAATATTTGAGATAATGATCAAGACTATTTTTAAAAAGAAAGGCTTGTACTCATGCGAGCCTGTTCAAGAGTGGTGAACTGCATGAAAATAACGATGCGGTTCCCCATTCACGACAGTGATAATTCATCCGCAGTGCCAGTGAGTGTAAGAACTAATTATTACTCCGAAGTCCGAAGATGATGCAGTGTTAAAAGATGGAACACTGTGGGCTGTGGCCAACTGATGATCGTCGTTCCAAGTTTGTTCACTATGTCATGTAGTACCGCTACAAGTTGATTAGACTTTGTTGTAAAAGTGAGAAATCATAGATATAATTACGGACATGACTCTCATTTGTTGTCTGGCCGTTGATTCTCACTAGTCTGGTATCACTTTTATTTCATTTGTCTTCTTTCTTCCTCCTCTCTCTTACTATCTTGCATGCGCGTCTCGTTTCAAACATTTGCTGCCAAAATAAAAATCTTCAAACCACTCACCACTTGGCACGTGAAACTTGGAAACCCAGAGTACAATGCTTGACTGCTTGAGTTTTAACTTTGTATGCCCGCTCTTCCATGCCACTACAAATCATGCAGGCAGCTACAAATTCAGGATTATCAAGTCAAGGGAACCAGTATTTGAGTTCATATCAATGTTATTAAAATCCTAGCTCATCTCACCGCTTGTGACTTTCAACGGCTTCATTGTTGTCCTCATGTCCTGCATCTTGTATGGAGTTAATGGTAGCTGATAAGAGCAATCTGTACTGGTCCTCTTGTCCTTTTCAAGCTTGCTTGCTACTTGTAATCCAGAAATATATATCAAAATCCTAAGAGTCTAAAAAAAAAGTAATTGTTACTACTAATATAGCATTTTTTTTATTAATTATACCTTAACATTCAACTCAAAGGATCAATAATTTTATAGTTGTCAAAGTTCTGGCTGGCGGTCGCTCGTCAGATGTCTGATGGCATATAATTTCAAGTTTTAATGCCATATAATTGTAATTATTCCCATAACTTTTGGAAAGCTTTTCTTTTAATAAACTAACACTAATCTGCCCGCGCCGTTGCTGGAGAAATAAAATTATTAAATGATTGTCCCTAATTTCACGATGATTGATGATTTGCTTTTCCACTGCACCTGAAGTTGGGTGGGGGGGAGCCAAAGCCAGATAACATAACTTGCTAGTTGACACCGGAGGGAGGACGCTCTTGAAGTAGGAAAATGAAAAATTTTTACCGGCGGGTAGTGATGTCGGTGGGGATTTCCAGGTGAAGGGCCTCTTTCTTTCCAGCACCGCTCGAAGCCTTGAAAACGGCGACGTTCTTCCCGAAATGCCATATTTCGATCACACTTCCGCACCCTACAACGGGCCTTTCGCATCTGATCTCTTAAAACGGAGCAGAGAGTATCTGCCCACCTACCTTGGTCCTTTCTACAGCCACCCGTAAGCCTCCAAACTGTTCTTTATAGTTTTCTGTTTGATTCTTGATCAATGTTCACGTCCGTTGCATTTTGCATTCAATGTTTCTACTTTTCATGTGGTGGCAGTTGAATTTGGTTAAGGGTAAGATGCAATACTTGTTTGATAAACATGGTCGTCGATATCTGGATGCTTTTGGTGGAATTGCCACGGTTTCACGTGGGCATTACCACCCTAATGTGGTTGAAGCAGTTGTAAACCATACTAGACTCTTGCAGCATACCACTGTTGTTTATTTGAACCATGCGGTTATTGTTTTTGCAGAGGCATTGCATCTAAGTTGCCAGGAGAACTCAAGGTTTTTTCATTTTCTGGGAATTTACAACGTCATGATTGAAACAGTTCTCTGTTGCTTCATTGTCATCGATGTGTGGTTTCCAGGTCGTTTTCTTCACAAATTCTGGGACAGAAGCCAATGAACTTGCTTTGTTGATTGCCCGATTGTACACGAGCTGTCATGATATAATTTCGATCAGAAATGGCTACCATGGAAATGCGGCAGCCACAATGAATGCCACTGCACAAAATTTTCACAAGTTCAATGTTGTACAGGTGCCCTTTCCGCAGCTATATGAGAAGTTAAAACATTAACTGAAGCTACATGCTCATTGCATTCACTCATACTTGTTACTAACTTCATGCTAGTAGACTGGAATTCACCGCGTGCTTAACCCAGATCCCTACAGAGGTGTCTTTGGTTCATATGGGCTCATGTATGCAAAAGATGTTCAAGATATAATTGACTATGGAACAAGCGATCATGTAGCTGGATTATTATTGAAGCCGCTCAGGTAATGTCATCATCATTTAGCAGTAGAATATAGTAAAGGGATGATTTGTTTGTCATAATGGCATATATGATATTAAAAGAAAGATTCATGCTTGACAAGAAGTGGTTGGAGTAATAGAGGCGACTCCA